TAAATGCATATTATTAAGTGCAAGAAACCACTCTGAAAGTACTATGTAGTATATGATTTATAACAGTAGAACCTCCATAGGTTTACCACCTCCCTACATTGACCACCTCCTTAAGTTGACCCAGTTGTCATAGACCGGACAAGCATCATATTTATATATCAGTAGAGTAAGCCTAGTTCCTTATATTGACCATCTCTGTATGTTAATCAGTTTGTAATAGTCCCTGGGGTGGTCAACTAAGGGAGGTTCTACTGTATATGACATTCTGGGAAAAGAAAACTATGGAGACAGTAAAAAGATAAGTGGTTGCCTAGGGTTGGAGGGGAGGAAGGATGACTAGGCCAGCACAGTATTTTTAAGGCGGTAAAAATACTCTGTATGATTCTACAGTAGTGGATACATGTTCTTATATGTTTGTCAAAACTCATAGAATGTATACCATCAAGAGCAGGAGTAAACTAATGTGAACTATGGACTTGGGGGATAATGATGTATCACTGTAGATTTATCAGTTGTAATAAATGCAACACTTTGGAGGGGATATTATGCATGTGTGTGGATGAGGGCATGTGGAAACTTTCTGTAATTTCTACTCAGATTTGCTATGAACTAAAATTTCTCTAAAAAGTAGTTTATTCATTAAGCAAAAAAAGGTTGTCAAAACAAATAAAAATCTGTACCAGAAACTGTATGTTACCTACTAAGCCTAAAATATAGTATTTATGATCAAGCCTTTTACAGAAAAAGTTTACAAAGCCCTAGACTGTATCACAGTGGAACTAGTGGAATTAGGAGATGAAGTGTTCAGTGTCTATCAGTTGCCATGCCCAGTCCTCTAGTTCTCCTGGATACTTGTTGTCTCTAATGGTAAAGTTGTTCTTAGGAATTTCTGTTATTATTTGCAGGTATATGAGTGACGTAAAGCTGCAAATAAAGACGGAGAGAGAGAAGTGCCAACTGGGAACAGGACAAGGATGCCAATTCCTCCTCCCCCTCCACCCCCACCAGGCCCTCCTCCCCCTCCCACTTTTAATCAGGTAGGTTGTCCTTCCATCAGGCTATCTCAACCTTTTTTCCTTTTTTTTTTCAAATGAGAGGTTCTCGCTGTGTCACTCAGTCTGGTCTCAAATTACTGGACTCAAGCGATCCCACCTCAGCCTCCCACATGGTTGGGACTATGGTGTGCAGCACCGTGCCTGACTTCTGTCTCAAAACCATTGAGTAGATAGGCCAATGACCCTCAAAAACTGGTTTATTTATCCTGTTTGGTTAAAAATTCTAGATTTTCCTACTCATAGCATTCTTATTCTGAGCCTACTCTTTAATTCTGTTTCTGCATCACAGATTTTTTTTTTTTTTTTT